GTTCCTATTTGTCAAATTTCTATCCCATTGAATATGTTTAAACGCGATAAATGTATACTATTATGACTGTAAGTATACGTTTCGATATAAAAAGAGATAACGGGCCCAAGGTAACGTCGTAACGGTATAAACATCGCAGTCTGTAGGTATTTTTATATGGTGTCTTCCCAATTGTCCTATATTTGAAATGACTGAAAACACTGTGTAGCATCACCACCCTATATAGGTACTCCTGAAGCAAAGAAATAATGATAGCAAAAAGAATCTACCTCTTCCCCGTACAGTATAAACTATTCGCCGTACTGTTTATCGCTTTATTTACATGGATTTCTCTGTGAAAACGATAGTTTATTTTAAAATACTGTGTCATTCAACCTTGAGTATGAGATATCTTTGTTCTGCGAAAACGTCTAATGTATAGTTGAAGGATAAATGTCTTTTAAACAAATTTGAATTCGTCACACGCTACTTTCAACAGGTACCATCCGGTCCAATTTTAACGATTTGAAGAGAAAGCCAAATAAGGATCATAATCAGCCCTAAATAGTAGCTATATTATTAGGAATCAGTATAACAAAACTTTGCAACGTAGAATATACTGAAAATACTGTGGATTCATTATTATTTGTTGGATACCAATTTTCGTGGATTTCGTGGTTACGCGGGAACCACGAATTCTAATGTCCAACGAATTACAAATTTTCTTTAGGAATTTAAGCAGACTTTAGCCAAAACACGAAATCAAATATCCACGAAATTGTAAGAGTTCCTCAATCCACGAAAATTGGTACCCACGAAAATGAATGAACCCACAGTGAGTAGAATTTGACCTTACACGACTTCACAATTTTTTTTTATACCGCTTCCGGGGTACCTATATCCTATGGTGATGATACACTGTGAGAAAAAAAGAATTCTGATTGACGTGCTTCGTTTGCTTTGTAAACAACACAGTGAAAAAATTCTCGATACATCTATACTTAGCACAGACTCAGAGGTGTACATAATAATGACTGTTACAACATACCTCCCGATTAGATCCACATGTATCGTAACCTATCTGCAAACGGTTTGCCGATTTCGCTAGGTTAAAAATTGCAATTGAAAAAAACCTATAGAACCTTTATTCTGTTGCTGATGCATAACAAAAAGAATTAATGCATTAGAGGTCGGGAAAATGTACGAAATCAAAATAAAATAAAATTCCGCGCAATTCTATTAATGTTTTTGGCGCATTTAAGTCATTTCAAAACATGGCGTCATACGAATGAAAACGTTAAAGCCGAAGCTTCTTCCGTTACGTGAACCCTTCACATTCGGATAATATTGCATTAAAATGGAGTTTTGAGGTAGGTGTTGTTTTATTTTCTATTTTATTGCACTATTCGCACATTTACTGATTTCAGCAAGTCAACATGGCGGCTCCTTAGTTACGAAATGTCAACTGTGGATTTGACGGTAGCTTTCGAGAAAAACATGTAAATTAAAAAGGGCAAGTTTTGGGGTTGAGATTTAAAAGCGTTAAACTCATTTTTTTTCTAGCAGTTTTTTAAGAAATAATTCATGCACGCTACAGATTTATTGGATTTTTTTTAGCTTTACCTTACATGGGTAAAATAGAACAGCCACACACACGGCATACCCACCCTCGCTTTGTTCTTTTAATTACCGTATTTGTCCTATTAGAATCGAAATAATTCATGGAAGCCATAGATGTGTTGTAAATTTACACATGGCCTGGTCCGTGATTTTCGTTAATTTTATCGCTAGCTTACGCACAGGATAAAATTCGAATATCACGGCCCATGCCATGTGTAAATTTCTAACAAATCTTTGGCTTCCATGAATTATTCTTAAATAAATTATGTGGGACAATCGGGAAGATGTTTGGTGGACAATTGGGAAGTTCAAACGTGGATAATCGGGAATTGTTATGATAGTAATTTGTTTGTGTATCAAGTTATTACAGGTAACTTATCAATGTAACTTATAAAAATTTGAAATACATATGGAGAAAAGTTGGTATTTACATAATTTATTTTGTTTTGTGATACTTTGTTATACTACTGTTCAAATTTAGAACAATACAATACAAAAACTAAATATATTTTAATTTCATAGAAAATAAAATGAAATAGATTCCAATAACACAATTGAAATGGAACAGATACATAACTTAAAAATTAAGACGTATCTAGGTTTAAATTGAAACATAACATGAGTATGAATTAAAAGTGCATTTTAACTAATGATTTATTCAACAATTCATATTTACATTTATAAAATTGATATCAACAAATATTCATGCAATTATTGAGAGAGGAGACTTAAATAAATTTTTGAATTGAAATGCCATCATGTATGTTAATTTGATATTGCAAGACAAGCAATAATTACATTGTTTATTTAAGAAAATTTAAAATAGTACGTAAAAGTAATGGGGCAATCAGACCTTTTCATAAGGGACAATCAGAACTCAATAATTTCAAAAAGTGGGCCAATCGGAAATACACCAAAACAAATCATTAAACTTAAATAATTCTCACAGCAAATATGAATCTGGTGAACCTTAATTTTCGATTTTATATCATTAAACCGGAAATGTAATTGATTTCGACTTGAAATGAGAAATTCTTTAATCCTTATACATTTTAGAGAAATAGGGAACAATACTAAATCTTTTTTTTAAATCTGAGTAAAAGTTTTCGAAATGACAAAAGGAAGAGAAAAACAAATTTTTTTATCATTTGTGAAATATTTTTTTGCATTTAGGTGTTCAATATTCTAATAACATGTGGAAAGAAAAAAAATATAATTGACAGAAACCAAGATAAAAACTCCGAAAATTAAATCAATTTGTTTTCATTCATAGCTGAATAGAGTAAAGTTACAAAAGTATTTCTGGATTAACCTTCATCATGAACGCTCAAAGTTAAATATAAGAAATACAAGTATGTAGAAGTACTAAAACACGCGAAGAGCTATATGACAACATTAAACCCGAAATATTAGACAAATCCATCTAAGCTCAACTTTGGCTTAGTACCGCAATCAGTACTCCCTCAGCTTTTACAGTCAATACGGTGATAGCTTTGTACTTTCTCAAATGAAGAAACCCAACGCGACTATTTATTTATTACTTGATTCGATCCATTGATATATACTTTAACAAAATATGGCAAAGTGAATTAATACATTTTTGTATCATTATGGTTTTTATTGTTTAAAGTAAATGTGCAGGGCGGGGATTCAATTAAAATCGATAATTTGTTAATTATTTGCCAAAATATTGTTTATATCGTGATTTTTTTCTCAAAAATATTGTAAAATGTACGAGTCACGCAAGTTTTTTTGTGAAAATTGTTGGATTTTGTACAGATTATACATGGAAAATCCAATTATGTGGTTGAAAGAAAAACAAACGATAGAATTTAAGATAAAATATGGGAAGATAGCTCTTACATGCTTAAAGTGTGCTCTCACGGAACTCGTTTTCTTGCTCCCAAAAAAAATTATGTAAACTCGTAATACATTACTTTATAAAAGTTACATTATCTAAGTTATCTTCCTTTTTATAGCAAAGATGAGAATAAATTAATTAAACAAAATATATCCTGTATTTGAAAATAACAGTAGTAAAAATATGATAAAACACACAATTGTCTGCATCAGGATGTAACGGTTTTACTAATGGATAACATTCTTCTCTCAACATTTGTACATTACATTTGGGATATATACGATTGTATTTGGATATTTTACAATCAAAATGGCGAAAGACCTCCGATCTACATTATGTCTTTTTATCAGTTAGTACAAATTTAACAGATCTAGTGCAAATACGTGGTAAACAGTCCATATACCTTTGTTCAATTTGATTATGTTATAAGAAGAAATTCCCTTTTTTAATCATTGATTTATTTTTAGAACTTATATGAAATACACCATCGAACCACATATCTGTTTATGTAAAGGAGAAACCATATTCTAAGATATAGTTATTATTTTTATAATTCTGCAGGTTTAATAAAGGCCACATACAGTCAAATAAATGATAAGAATGTCAACCTCATAGATTGTTCCATGAAAAATTTAACATCAATGCCTGTTTTCCTGCAAAATTCAACAACTGATCTAAATCTACATGGAAATTTGTTACTGGTAGTTCCCGCATGGTCTTTCCAGAAATCAAGAAAACTAAAACGCTTAGATCTGTCTGATAATTTACTGAGGATGATTGAACGGGGAGCATTCGAGGGACTCGACGAGCTCATCTATCTCAACCTTAGAAATAACAAATTAACGTCAAATTCTCTTCATGAGAAAATTTTTCAAGATTTGATCTCACTTCAGGATTTAGCAATAAATACTAACTTTTTCGACAAGGAATATATATTTTTGCAGTCTGAAATATCTCGAGTAAAGTCATTGGTTAAGCTAGGAATTGATCTTCGAGGACGAGACCAAATAGATAATTGCCTTTGTAATTTATCAAAATTACAGGAACTTCAAATTTGGGGATTGTCCGGACAAACATTTTCAGACAATTCATTTCAAAACCTAAAGTGTCTTAAAATAGAAATATTGTCACTTGCTTCGGTGATTTCTCTAGCACCAGATACGTTCGTTTCTTTTCCAACGTTAAAGACGCTAAGGATACAGATTATGTCTAGGTTAGCTACGTACAACACCATTAGCAGTATATTTAATTCTTTTAGGGTTTTCAAAGGTAAAAATATGACAGAAATAAGCATCAATAATAATCCACATAGAAACGGCTTTGTGATCGGCCATACGCACTTTGCAGTTCTTCAAGAAGTATGTCTAAAAAAGTTAAATTTGATGGGTGACAGTATACTTGGCATAAATTTTGGACCTTTTTTAAAATATGGATATAAGGAAAATTGTTTAGAAGAATTAAACATTAATTTAATGTTTGACAACAAAAATAGTTATGTTTTTGCATTTTGTGAGTTTAAACATTTGAAAATAATCAGAATTCCATTTGTAATATTTAGGGACAAAAGAGTAAAACGATCGACTGAAAATGACGTATCTTACTCGTTTTGTCTTCCAAAAACTTTAGAACAATTGGACCTCCATTCAAACGTTAGATCATATGCTAGTAGAAGAATTGCAAATTTAACTTTAATTGACGGGTCAAATTTAAAAATTGTAAATATGGCTAACATTACACTCCGAGATTGTAATGGTACGATTTATGGCATTGAAAATTTAGAGTATTTGGATATGTCAGGATTCATCTGCAAAGTATTGAGTGTTCATCTTCTGTCACATTTTCCTAAACTGATTACTCTCATTGCACAAAATGCTAATCTTGGAATCGGTTTGAATACCCTTAAAACTGCTTCAGAATTTCTAAAGATGAATTTACATCTACAACACATTGACTTGACGAAAAATAGCATACAGCAGCTACCAGATGACTTATTTGATCATCTTTTTAGACATAAGCTTTCTATCATATTGGACAGAAACAACTTACAATCTCTACCGAACTTTCCGTCGAAACCAAATACAATTCAACAAATCAGTCTGAAATATAATAAAATTTCGTGTCTAAGCAAAGACAATATCGCTAACCTTAACATAATAAAACCTTCAAGTGTATTTCTTCGTGGAAATCCGATTGAATGCTCATGTAATACGTTAAGTTTTCTTAAATGGGTGCACCATTCAGGTTTTATAAGTGATGTTGATGAAATAGAATGCGTCCTCCAAAATGGGACTCTTGCAATTTTGTCTCATTTCTTGCGAAATCTAAAAACATATGAAATCAGTTGTCAAACAGAATTATGGATAACATTGGCAAGTTGCATTACATCTTTCACCATAGTGGCTTTAATCTTTGGAATAGTATACTATCGCTACCGATTTGCATTTGAATATTTCTTTCTGAGAATTAAGATGAAACTAAGGCATTACCAGCCTCTTTTGGAAGAGTTCAATTATGATGCATTTATTTCATACAGTCATACCGACAAAACTTGGGTTAAAACTCTCCACGACAAGTTGGAGCCGAAAGGATTCAGTTTCTGTATAGATGATAAGGATTTCTTAGCTGGAGTAAATATTGCTGAGTGTATCGTTAAAGCTATCAATTCCAGCAGAAAGGTTATATTTGTTATCACTGAAGAATTCCTAAAGAGTAACTGGGGCACGTATGAAATAGAAATGACAAGAATGCATGCCTTCAGAGAGGGTCGTGAATCAATGATTATTATTATACTGAAGGATAACATTAAAAAAGACAAACTTCCAAAGGCCTTGAAGGAAATCTGGTATAAGGTCGTCTGTATAGTCTGGCCATCTGATTCCGAGGCTCCATATAATTCAGAGGAAATATTCTACGAGAAGCTATGTATAACATTATCAGACGGTCGTATGAGAATAAGTGATGATAACTGTTTAATGTAAAAGATCAACATATTGCAGTTTTGCAAAGTTCAGATAAATGAACAAATACAGTACACTAATTAGGGACAGAATTTTAAAAGAAACAGGTTAAAACATGATTAACTTTATGAACTTATGAACTTTTAAGTGTATTACAAATATGTCATTTGTCAGTGCGTCATTGAAACTCAAAAACTTTAAGCAGACTCATATTGCCACTTGATTGTCTCTGAGTACTGTATTTAATTACTAAATTTCACAATGAACAAAATATAAAGTATATATAGTTGAACATATTTACACAAAAAATGTAATGGTTAACAATAGAAACAAAAGTATTCATTTGAATTTCCCCCGCTATATCCACTGTGTAAATCCAAGTAAATGGCATGTAAATACTCTAAACAGTCAGTATAATATGTATGCCCAACCCTTTTTTTAAACCAATTAAACACTTTATAAATTGCATGCGTCCGAAGCGCTTTTCTTGATTGATCTTCATCAGGAACGTTTAAGGCCGAATGTTTGAATGTCAGGAATGTATACGACCGAAATAGTTGAAGAGATATATGATCAAAACACCAAAATTAATTGCTAAATTTATCAAAGGCCAACTTTGCCTGAGGAGTTGAAACCTTAGTTTCTTAATAATTTATAAATTTCGTAACGGGCAATATAAGAAAGGAGTGTTAGAAATCATGCCAGGACCAAAGTACTGACTACAGAGCTGATGATACGCTCGGGTATTGGTAGTCAACGAGCAGCGATATCGACCCAGTTATTTAAACAATTAAAACAATACCTTATAAATTTCATGCATCGGGAGTGCTTTTCTAGATTTACCTTCATTAGGAAAGTTTATATATGTATTAAATATTTCAAAGCCAAGGATGTATAAGAACCAAAAAAGTTGAAGTACATTATGACCAGAAACATCAAGCAGAATTTCAAAATTCATCAAAGGTCAACTTATACTGGCTCAATCAGTGATATAGGAAATCGACACAAAATTATTTTCCGAAATAATTAATATAACGGGTATTTAATCACAGATAAAAGTGTGTTCCTTAGCATTACAACAAGAAGAGATTAATATTTTATAGATATTCTAAACAGGAAAGTAGGCAAACAACACTTGGAACATAACATGTCACTTGGTGGCCAATTATCATAGCATTATACTCTTAACTTACTGATGCTATTAAAAGGGGAACTATAACAGTAAAAACTGTTTGAAAATAATTTTGCATAACAACTTATTACTTCATTGGGATCTAGAAAAGAGAGTCGAGGGATTACAAAGGGACATTTAAACTCATAAATTGAAAACAAACTGACAACGGCATGGCCAAAAAAGAAACGGAAAAACAGATATACAACATAGAAAACCTAAAACTGAGCAAAACGAACCCCACCAAAAACTTGGGGTGATCTCAGGTACTCCGATAGGGTAAGCAGATTGTGCTCCACATGTGGCACCCATCGTGTTGCTCATTTTAGTACAAACCCGGTGATGTGTTTAATTTGGTAGGTCACATTCGCGGAAAAGGGACGAGATTGTAGGCACGACAATTGGAACAAATCCCTCGTCATCTGAGAATCAGCTTTTCCATAATGGTCAACCAACTCGTGATGGCGTCCGTAAAATTTACGAAGAGATGATTTCAACTTCACCACTTGGAACTCTTGGTTTAATAGCTTCCTTATGAACAGCAACCCTCTATCAAGGAAATCATGATAGGAAAAGCAAGCCCTAAAATATTGTATCAACTGAGAGATATATATTCCGTATGCAGGCGCTTGATACGGCGCTGCTTGAATGCTGCTACATAAAAATGGAAAGTTCACAATAGGGAAGCTGAAATCGCCTCTTTTGTCGTAAAGTTTTGTTTTCAACCGACCCTCATTGTCAATTTCTAGATATAAGTCAAAATATGAGGCAAGCTTAACTGTTATATCCTTTATCTCAAGTTCGATGGGATAGATGCGTCCAACATAGTCACCACATTTTGAGTTATCTATTGAGTGAACATCATCTATATTGCGGAAGGAGAAGTTAAATGATACTGCTAACTGCTTTTCTTTCTTTCTAAGAAGTTCCTGTATGAAGTCAGCCTCATATGAATAAGAACAAGTCGGTAAGAAGAGGAGCACAGTTGGTTCCAATTGGATTGCCGATTCTTTGTTTGAAAATACGTCCTCCAAACGTAACAAATATGTCGTATGTCGTCAGTTTCAGAGAAGTTTTTGTTTGAATCAGAGTGATTTTAATACAAAGTACGCGTACACAATTTTAATCCTGGTATCTATGATGAGTTAATTTACAGATAGTTTTTTTATTTGTTCTGTAATCAAAGAGCTTTATTATGTCTTGGTGTAAGTTATGACAACCATTACAATGATCTGGTAGACACCTATACGAATTAAAAATCAGAATTTTGACATGGTACAAATATGCCTAGTGGTTAAAGAGAAAATTGTTTCTTTATTTTGTTCAACTGTGTAAAATTGATTAAACTTTTTTTCTAAATTGTGACATTATCGGAGGCTGCTTATTACCGGTTTTATACTTGCTTGAGCAACACGACGGGTACCACATACCCATTTATCAAGTTTCAACAACAATGACCGGGTGCAACGAATGGAGCAGGAAGTGCTCAGAACACTGTGAGTTCATTGGACTTTTAGTGGCTCTATCTTTAGTTGTTAATGTACTGGTTTGTGGGCTGTAATTTGTCGTATCGACTTTTTTGCTTAAAGGCAAAGTACAAGTAATGGATGATGGTTAAGATTTTGCTTATATTTTGTATATATTGAAACTCGTTGAACTGTTTCTGAATATCGAAAAAAGATATGTGTATATAAGTGTGTGTAATTCGAGAGATACGATTGATAAAAAAATATTCAAATATGTTTATTTAGAGTAGGTACACGAGAAAAATTATAATTGACCCTCATATTTTGGATTACTTTATCAGGCTGACAAACTGCAAATTTTACCAAGTAATATTTATGATATTGATAATAATACACACTAGTTTCTTTTCGGCATATCACAGTATCAACTTATAGAATATAACGCCCAGATTAGGCATTATTTACGTGCAACGTTAACTTTTTTCCAATATTTCATAAATAAAGCAGTGTTATTAAATAATTTTGGCCACAACTCCTGAACCAGAAGGTTGTTGTGCCTCGGAACTCACAATTAACATTGGAACGTTTAGTTATAGAATATTGTTGATTGCAGATCAATTGACAAACCAAAATGTGAACTTATGATCTTTTATGATAACACTGAAACCTAAGACCATATTTTTGCAAAAGTGAAATTCGTCGTATATTCGGTAGACATTAATTTATCTCGTTAAGTAGCATGATAAGAGTCACAAGGACAAAACAATCGTAACATCGTGACAGTTTCACAGCTGGTAAATCTTTTCCCCCTGTTTTTCGTACATCTCTCATATTCTAATGACTGAGACAAGAATAAAGAATTCGGCGACTCCTTGATATTTTCATATCGTTAAAACGGGGAAAGTAATAGCAATGAAATAAAATGACATGACATAATCTATACTTTACGGTCGTTAATGCATTAACACAATTTGTGTAGACTATCCATAATTGACGACTGTAATGCTTTATGTATTGCTCCTTGATGTCTAGTTTACGATTGATAAATTATTATCATCTATATAGCTATATTTGTATTCATTATAATAAATGTATACATTTGTTATTAAAATTAGTAAATGTGGTATGATTTCTAATGAGACAACTAACAGCCGCAGGGCAAGTATGTTACCAACTAGAGGTCATAGTACGGCATTCAACAATGAACAATCCCCTATATTAGTTTTTTTTTTAGTTATGAAAGGCTGGGGTTGAAAAAATGTGAATCAATTGAAAAAGAAAACCCAAAGTATCATTTTTTTTTTAAATTAACGAAAGAAAAGTATTGAAACCGCATGAAGCAAACGACAAGCACTGGACTAATGACTCCTAGCTTGGGATAGACAATGTTTTCAAAGGCTGTTTATTTAAGATTTGAAAGCTTCTTTCGTATTTCATTTTTTGGGGGGATGTAAAAGTGTTAAATAAGGCATATCTATACCGCGATTTAAACTAAACATGTGCCCACTTTAACGTTTTTGCAACCAAATTATTGTACAAAAAGCAGTATTCAATTCTTATAATTACATTTTGATGCTATAACCGTGAAATAACGAGCACAAATCAAGCCTTTCGTTCATTTATCTTAGTATTGTTTTATCGATGTCACAGATAGCACGTACATTTGTCAGTGTATATTTTTTTTTTTCGCAACAAAAGTTCAACTTGAAATTTTTGTATAAACGTTGCTAGATCTGTTCTTGCCAAAACACATTTTCTATACCCCTCATAGAAATTCAAATAGAATTAATATTATAGAATATTTCTTCCATTTGGAATTAATATTATAAAGGAACTTTTGTTCCAAGATACAGTTATAGATCATCATAGAGGTTGCTGTATAGTGAAACATATTAAAATATCTCTTTGCACAAAGCTTTAACATTTTAAAGATCTTTTAACATACTATATAAAAGGATCAGGTTACTCCTCTATTTGACACTTCTGAATTACTTCCCTAATTATAATTCGGTGACAGCTCATTTCGGTTGATAGTGAAAAAAATGAAAAACCACACACAATGTACATACATGAATGAACTTTATACATAACTTAAACATATTATATTTATATCTATTTCCAGTCCTGAGGTTAAATCTAAATAAATATCAATTTTCACCTACTGACTTTTTTTTCTGGTTGCACATGTTGTACAAATGTACATATTTAAATGAATACGTTTAAGAACATGTATATCGTCATGTCACTGTTCACTTAATACCGTGTACGTTTAGTTTTAATATGAAATTTAGAGGTGACACTCCAGATGTTGATGAATTGGGGCGGCAGGGGGTTTGGAGCTACGATATGGTTAACTCGTATACTTTAATTTTTAATTAACATTGCCTGGTTGAAAATCCTGAGTCTGCATCTGTACTTAATACCTGTATATTATCTCTTGAATCAAATGTAAGTCTGTCTATTACCAAACTAAGTTGTCTTTTTACCAAGAAATGTCTATTTAATAATACACAAACAGTTAATGAATATCACC